GTTTTTATTTTCCCTAAAGAAGGAGTAATAACCTGGTTCTTTGTGTTTGAACAAATGTTATTGTTATCCTTGTTAGTTTGCTGCTCTCCTCCTCTTAGCTAAGAGAATGTTAAGAGAAATTTTTCATTCCTACAGCATTTTGTAATAATGAGGCAGACAGAAATAAATAGGCTTATATTTATTTGGATTGAGATGGGTACTTAGTGTTCAGGTGTTTAATACTGAACAAGAAGCCTCACTTTTATTTTATTGGATTTGCATTTTTTTTTTTTTTTTTGGTACCAGGGATCGAACTCGAGTCCTTCCACTTTTGAGGCAGGCAGCAGAACCACTGAGCTAAATCCCTGGCCCCTCACTTTTATTTTATTAATAAACCGCTGCACAGCTATCTTTCCCTTTTACTTCCAATCAATTCACATTTTCTGCTGTGACACGTAGCATTACTTAAAAATGTTTTAAAAATTGTTTCTATATATTATGAATTGTTCCTTGCTTAACACCAGAATATTGAGAGGTAAGAAATTTGGAAGTGAGCCATTGTTATTTATGTCCTAAAGAAAAAGTTAATGGCAAGAGTAATTTTAAAGATGTTTTATATTTTATTTTAAATAACATTTTAAGATACTGTCAAATATATTTATTTTCCTTTTTCTAAAAATCCTTAAATTATCACCAAAGGTCATGATCAGAACTTGAATTGCTATTTCTTTGGGGTATTGTAATTTAATATTTGTAGTTTGATTCTTTGAGGTTTTTAGTTATTAGCTGTTTCTTTGGGGATATAATTTAGCACTTGTTCTTTGATGCCTTGACAGTGTTAATTTCTTTAAAGTTTTGGCATAAGTAATGGGATCAAAGGAGGTGAAGTATATTGAAAATATTGATTTTTAATTTAAATCTATTTTCTATAAAAAAGGAAGAAAATCTTCTTATTCATCTTTAATTCCTATCTTGGTACCTAATTTGTAATAGACCCGAGTAAATATTTGTGAATTGAGAATAATACTTGAATCAATGTCTTTTTTGGAAAAGGGGTGGCTTTAATGGAGCATGTGACATTTCTAGTCCATTTTATTCCAGTATTCTTTTCATACTTGATATCAGGGTCAACCCTTAACTGCAAAAAGAGGAGTTGCTTATGAGCTGAACGTTCAGCAATCATCTTTCCATTATGCTAGCCAGAACATATTTCAGAAGTAACAGTGCACCATTCGAGAAATTGTTTTCTGATGAGATTTTAAAGAAATTTGTTTTCTGATGAGATTTTAAAGAAAGCCTCACCATGGCCTAGTTCTCAGTCATGCCCAGAAGCTCTTCTTCATTAGAGGCTTATTTTTCACCAAGTACAGTATCACTTCCTCTCTTACGATTCGTTTAAAGGTATATTTGTAGCTTCCCAATCTCCCTGTTTTATCAGTTCCTCATTTTGTATATTGAATAAGATGTTGGATTTGGGGAAAGAAAGAGGTTGGAATAGGGGACTATGTGTCTTTTCAGCTGTTGCCTGAACTTTTAGTGCTGTCTGCCATCTCCAAATCCATTCCATTCACTTATTCATTCACTAAGTAGGTATACTGCACCTCTGGAACTGCAAGTGGTGTGTTAGATACTTGGATAGAGAGGAGAGTTACAGTGACTAGCACAGTATCTGGAATAGTAGCCTTCCTCGAGCAGTAAACGACCCCTTGAGAGCCTTGCTCAGCTCCATGCTGTGTTGTGCAGCTGTAACAGGTCTGATTCTACATGGAATTCTCACCTCCCCATCTAAATCATTTAGGACACCAAATCATTATACTAGTTACACCAAATGCTATAACAAATAAGCCTTCCCATTTCAGTGGTTTAGCACTGAAATTTACATGTATTTTTCATTGATATTGAATAATTCAGTGTGCTTCTGAATAAAGACACTCTGTTACTTGTGGTCAGTTAAAAACCCAGGATGAGAGAAACTCATGCACCTTCCAGAGTTTGCTGGGTTGTCAGCATTCAGACTGCAGAGGAAAAAGAGCATAAGGGACTGCATACCAAACATTTTTGTAGGCCAGTGCCTGAACATCACAAATGTCATCTCTCTTTCTTCCACTACCTGGAGCCCAGGCATATGGCCACCTCTAACTGGGAAATGTAAGTAGTTCAGCCCCCAAAGAATGTCTGGTAGGCAGGGTTCAAAGGGTGATTATGACTATGTGTTATATAACTTTTTTTTTCCTGCCAATAGAAAGAATGGCCTGTCTTCCTTTAATAATTATTAAATAATTATAAATTGTGTTTCAGAAATCTTTTGGATATCGAAATAGAGTGAAATATTTTCTTTTTCCAATACAGTGAACATAGGTAAATCAAATATTTGGAGGTTTTACTATTAACTCTTAAGAGATTCTGATTTTCTCTCTCACAGTATTGCTCTTCCCCACTAGTTTGGTGAAATCTCACCTTAGTGAAACGCTCCTGAATTTTCCTCTTTCACCCCTGCCTCCCTAGGCATAGTTAGCAGTTGGATCCCCAGTGTTCTGCTTGGGCTTGAACATACCTGTTTGTTTCATTCATTCATCTGTTCACCCACTCAGGTATTTATAATGGAAAGAGAAGAGAAAGAAAGGAAAGAGTGGTAAGGAGGGGAATAAAAAGTTGAAATTCACTGTGATAGAGTAGTACAAAGGCATAGGGAGAATAAATTTAGTTCTACATTAGTTATAAGGGAGAGGTGAGGACTGCTTCTTTCAGAAGAAAAAAGTTTAGTCCAAATCTCTTATTATTAATGGATACTCTCCCTTTCCCAAATAATTAGCTTTTCAGAGAAAATACCCTATTTTGATGATATCTGGTGTAGCAGTAGTCATATGCTGAACACTCAGATGAATTGACCAGATGAAATGTAATTGAATACCTCTATAAACTTTACTTATTTTACACTTTCCCATACATTAACTTATATTGTGCTCAACACAGCTGTATGATAAGACATTTTTACTTCTGGTTTAAAATAATGAACTAAAATTAAAAAAAAGATTTGATGGTTTGCCATTGGTATATAGTAGATTAACAAGATAGATCTCAAGTGTTCTATATCTAATTTTGTGCATTTTTCATGCTTGGAAACAAGCATTTCAGTATCAAATGGTACTTTGAAATTTACGGTGTGTGCTTTGGGGGATGAAACATCAAATCACCTGAATCTGAATGATGGAGGCTATTTATTTACATTGACTCAAGCAAGTGTTTTTCTTTTTAAACAGAAATGGTTCTTCCATCATTTCTTATAGTGCTTTATATTCCTGCCAGCAGAGTGTTTTGAACGTGATAGGTGCCCTGTAAATATTTCTTAACAAATTGGTAGTGATTTAAATTTTGTACATTAGATTTACCTAAATTAGACAAGCTTCCTGATAGAAACCATCGTAAATTTTTACCTATATAATTACTGTGTCATAGGGGACAAAGTTTGCCTGTGATATATTCTGAATCCTAGAATTTTAAAAGAAGTTTTCAGTACACTGGCTTGGTGTGCTTAGCTTTGGAATTTATGGCAGACAGTCATTGTTTCCATCTCTTATTTATCCATATTTTGTAGCATAAGGGTATCAGCATTCTCTACAGAAAAGTTATGATTTGATGCACAGTTTATTAAAGTTTCAGTTGACAAAGGATCAAGGCATTGCTTTATAGAAGTTTAAAATTTCACATTTTCATATAATCTGATTCATTTCAAGCTCATATGTCTGAAAGCAGACCCATTTAGTATCCTTCACATCTCCCTCTCACTTATTACCAGCTGCTACCCATTTCATTCAGTGGTGGCTCAAAAACCACAGAGCACTGTGACTACTTGCTCCTTCCCTTTATACTGCTCATCTAATTCACTTTTATGTTGTATTGCCTTAACCTCTAAAATGTCTCTGAAGTCATGGAATTCAAGACCTCCTTTTAAAGTCAGGTGTTGAATGGCTTTCTTAATCTCTTCAGAGCTCTGAAATTACAGGAAAAGAGACTTTGAAGAGTTTACTGTCAAATCAGCAAGAAGACTTAGGTTAAAAACATAAATAAATTTTAAGGAAGTTTCAATGTTAGAAGACACTTCTCTTTTTTTTTCTTTCTTTTTTTTTTTTTTTGCACCGGGGATCAAACTCGGGACCTTGCACGTGCGAGGCAGGCAGTGGAACCACTGAACTAAATCCCTGGCCCACTTCTCTTTGATATACTTGAGTAAGAATTTATTTCATCATCTCTGGAAGCACTAGCTTTTTCCCAATTATGCAACCAGGAGACTGAATAGACACTGGGAAGTTTTCAAAGTGTATGGCACATAAGAGATGGTTGATAGGTGTATAATGAATGAAGGGATGGGCAGATGGGCAAAAATAGAATGGTAATGGTGAGAGGATTGTAAATTCAGCTTCTGTTTTCTGATTTTTCAGATTCCTTAACAGGAATATGTTCTTTAAAATTTTGTTTTGTTTTATTTTTCCAAGAGCATGATAAATGCCAAGTGTGACAGTCCCACCTTTCACGTTAATCATGACTAGATAAACACCTCTAGTGCCTCAGTGTTCTATTTAATGGCATTTCAATGTGTAGGGAATTCAAGAGTGCTTTAGAAAGTGTCTGTAGTTGAAGACTCATGGTATCTAATATGTGTTTAAAAAGAAAGATGTGGAGGATTAGTGGTATTAGGATTTCAATGTGATATTTTTGCCAGAAGTCTAGAAAAGTTCTTAAATTTTTTCTTATCTACTGTCTTATTGCTAATAGGTCATCAAAAAAATCATGTTAGCCACTTAATAAAAATGATATAATATTATCCTGAACTTTGTCCTTCATCCATAGAATGATAGTATAATAAAATATTAGGTTTTAAAGCTTCAAGTACTAAGGAATGAAAACTAATGAATTTTCCTCATTAATTATTCCAGTGACTTATCCGCGACTTAATTTTTTTCTCCCACATATGATAGAAGTGAAAGACACAGAAGTACATGTTTTCTCTTTCTGTTTTGCAGGGGAAGATGGTGAAAGGAATGGGAGGTGCTATGGATTTAGTGTCCAGTGCCAAAACCAAAGTTGTGGTCACTATGGAGCATTCTGCAAAGGTAAACTGTCTTCTGCGTCACAAATGCAGCTTTTGGAAATTCACATTATGCCAAAACTATGAACACAGTCACCTGCCTGTGATTTTTCTATTTTTTCCTCTGGATCATTCAAGGTGATAACACATATTTTAGAAAGAAAGATAACAATGCAGGTAGTTATTATTATTTGGCTAAATGGTTTTACTTTGAGTGAAGCCAAATATCAGGGTATGCTTTGAATATCTGCCTTGCATCCACATTAAAAATGAAAGCTTTAGTGTCTTTAAAAGTAGTAAAAATATTTTGGGGCACATGTAATTGATTTCAAGCCCATAAACTTGATACAAGTATTTTTATGTTTCTATAAAAAGAGCTTTAGAGAGATTACATCATTTGTCTGAGATCAGGTACCTAGTGGACTTGAGATGAGACGGTGGTGTCTCTAACACTGTAGCCCAGTTTTCTAAGCATGGAGTCTTTCTTCCTTGTTCTTGAATTAGTGTCTTTATACCAACTTATTGTTTTCCTGACCTAAATCCTTTGGCTTCTGCTAATTTGAGAATTTGATATTGGGTGGTACCTTCTTCTTTTTATGTAATTTGTTCATTTTCCTTTACTGGTTCTCATGTAGAGACCTGCTAATTTGAGGTGAAACAGTAGTACATTTGTCCTGTTTTTATTTAGTGATGCAGCATTTTCTAAGAGCATGGAGCTGGAGGATTTGTACTTTGCTTGGTTCCTCTGGGGGAGTTCTGTTATAGTCATATGTGCTGTGAGATGGTTCTGCTGTGAAAACTGCAATAAGTATGAATTATCATACATTGTTTAGTAAACAGTGGGAAGTGAGTGGTGGTGCATAAATGTGGAACAATAGAAATGGAACCAAAACAGGTGATTTCTGAGAGATGCTTGCAAAAGCATTCAAAATATATTTGAGGCAATAGGATGCCAAACATGCAAATCAAATCTAAATCTTTTCTGGAACATAATATCTATTTGGAGAAAATGTTTTTTTAACCGTATATCCTTTTATTGGTACATTTTAGGTATGCAATATAATGACATTCATCATTGGAAATTTGCACCTTTACATACTCTCTTGGTTCTTATTTTTTCCCCCTTCCCCTGTCCTCCCTTCAACCCCTCCATCCCTTCCTATTTACAGAGGCTTTGTTTCATTTTTTTCATTTTCTCATATTAATTCCATTTACTTCTTTCCTTTCCCCTACTCCTTCCCTTTTGCCCCTTTTCTTCCTATTTCACGTTATCTATTATACCTATTAGTCCTTATTTACACTTTCACTTTCTTACACTTGAGAGACTATTTGGTATTTACACATCTGTGTCCTATTTATGTCACTTAAGAGTATCGCCTCATTGTGCATCCCTTTAGCAATAAATGTCTCTAATTTCTCATTTTTTATGGGTGAGTAGTACTCCATTTTATAAAAAAACCCATATTTTCTTTATCCAGTCTCCAGTTGATGGGCAATTGGGCTGCTTCCAAGTTTTAGCTAT